TTTCTGGCCAGTGTACTAAAGTTTCGTTTCGTTTCGTTCGTTTCTTCTACTGATAACTTTTGTTCTTGGCCATGTTTATATAGCCTCTGCTTGCTCTCTATTAGTTTTTGCAAGTGTTTATATGAGCTCTAAGAAATATGAGCGCTCAGTGACTGCCCGCCTGTTGGCTTGCTCCTCTGGCCCCTCGTCATCGTCTCCTCCTTCGATGTGGTCATAAAAATTGTAGAACAGGCAATACCAACAGTCCAAAATGGCAAATGCTCCAAGCGCCAACGAACCAAAAATGAAATGGCTTAAGCTTTCTGCCTGTTTGTGTGTTGTTGCTACTGTGGTTGTTGCTGTTGTTGTTGTTGTTGCAGTTGCTGCTGTTGTTGCTGCTCAAATATAAATGCATTTGCGCCCGACCACAAAATGTGTTCAACCGGAAATTGTACGTGGAGAGTGCATGAGTGGGCGGTTTGGTTTTCAAGGAGGGGCGTGTGTGCGGGCAATACACTGTTTTTCGATTGGCAAAGAGGCATATATTGGAGGGTTGATATAATAATGATATAATACATATAATTAAATATGGAATTTCAATACAGATCATTAAGATTCGATTTGAAGAGATTTGGCAAACGAATTTTTAAAAATATTTTTTAGCTTTAATTACACTACACAGCAAAGTTAGATTTCTAGGCATATTTTCCATTTGCATAAGTCTACTAAATTTATTTATTTATTTATTATTATAAAAAATGAAATTCTAAATAGCAAATTTTAGGCCAGAGCGAAAGTCTACTAAATATTGTCTTTTTATTTATTTTTTTTTAGCTAGATTTAGGTATTTTTATAGACACTTGTGTTGTCTAAATTTGACCTATTTTTAGCCACTTTTCTAAGTTCATTTGAATTATTCTCTGCAAGTTAACTAACTTAAGTCAATTTTATATACATTTCCACTTTTAAGAGTTTTAGCTTTCTGTTTTTCGAATTCAAGTCGAAGTTTCAGTACAGGGCTCTCTCTCTCTCCCTCTCTCTGTCTCTTTCTCTCTTTCTAAGCAGAGTATTTCGCAGTCAATCAAGTGGCAAATCGCAACTGCTTTCGCTTGTTTGTGTGTTGAGTTTCTGTTTGTATTTGTGTGTGTGCGCGTGTGTATGTGTGCGGAATTGGGCAGTGGGTTTTCGGTTGCTTTGACAGTCATTGCCATACGTTCCATTAGCTTTTTTATGCGCCTATTGCTGTGGCAACTAAGGCTTTAGCTTTAGCCATGGCTATGGCTATGGCTATATCTATCACTGGCTATCTGGCTACCTATATGTGCGTGCTGAAAATTTAACAGATTTTTGCGTGTGCGACTTTTCTATATTGCGGTTGGTCAAAAAGCCGCTGCGACTAAGCCTATGTGCTGAGTGCTAAGCATCGGTCCAGTCAGCCGGTCAGCCAGTCAGTTAGTCAGTCAATCTGTTTGTCAAACTGTCTGCCCATCAGGTTTGTGCGGCCATGTCATACGGCTCTTATTTGCATCGATGGGATTCAAAATGGAGCTAAGCAGTTATTGGACTCGTTAACGTCATCATTGCCATCAGTTGCACCTGCCTGACTCTGCACTTTTTGCCAGCAATGAAGCGTCAAAGTGCAAATGAGCCAGGACACACACTCTCAGAGCAAACATATACACACACACACACACACACACACGTACACGCACACGCACAAGAGACGTGGAATGCATGCAAGCAACTCTGTGCAAACAGAAGAAAATGCACTCATGCAATATGCAGCAGGTAATCTCGTTTCTTTTAATCGCTGTTTGACATCAAAATTAGAATTTCTTAAGATGCCAAGAAGATGCCCCAACTATGGTACTCAGCATAAAGACATCCTTTATTGCAAGTTGTTTGCCTAGCTTTTACGGCATAAGACGCGACACTCTATTTCAAAAGACACCTTTGATTGGGCAGCTGTGGGTGTGCGAGTGTGTGTGGGTGTGTGGCCCATTCTTTGCATAGGCAAATTGAAAATTGATGGAACGCTTTTAGAGCTGACCACAGTTTGCTTGGCATCAATTTGAAATTATACTTCCTGGCAATCCTCAAACACAATGCAATTGCCATTTAGCTCGCTATAGCCTCAATGCATTGCAATCCCTTTTTGATTTCTTTTCCCTTTTTTTGTGCCTTTACACACTCTGATTCTCTTCATGCTAGTTTTGCCTTGTTCATTTTGTTGCATTTGGGGAGTTGATCCTCTACGGTCCACTATTGATGCCGTGACACGTTCTAACAATCGCTCACTTTGACGTCTTCTATGAAGTTTTTCCTATTATTGTTTACTTTTCTTTTGCATTTAGATTCCATTCTTTTGTTCTCATTGCCTCTCTCTCTGTCTCTTTCTCACCCTCTCTCTGTTTTTTTGCACATTGTTGCTGTGGACTTCAAGTTAACAAAAAAAAAAAAAAAAGGTAGATGAAGAAGGAAAATTGCAGCAAGAAACTTGAATTGAACTTCACACAGTCGAAGCAGCAATACCCTCGTTCACCTTTTGCCAATAAATTGGTTTGAGTTGACTTTTAGTTGAAAATTTGATTTTGTTAACTGTAGTTTTAAGTTTGGCTGTAGTTACACTTGGCTGAATTGACAGACTCAACTTGATTGCTTGCAAAATAAAAATATATATATACATTTTTTTGTGGTTTGTGTTGACTGAACTTTGTTAATATTTGGATAAAATATTTGGATAAAATATTCAATTTGTATGTTAAGGCATATTTTTGTTCAATTAATTTCTAGAATATTTTCTGTAAATAATATTCTGTAGAGCATCAACTATTATAAATTCTAATGAAATTTTGAAAAGCCAAGTCTCTTGTTAATATCGAGTGTAGATATTTCCAGATACTTTCCCCTTTTTATTGAAGCATGCACTATCTATATTAGATATACAACTAAACAATATCTAATAAGTTATATATAATATCGATTAAATATATAGAAATTGTTTGCATTATTTATACTTTGCGCTCGTTTTGTAGTTTCCCTTGAGCTTTCGTATGAAATCCTTTGTGGCATTATTTATGTTTCGCTTCAGACTCGGAACAGCCATTGCCTTAAAGCGCTTAGCTGAGCCTTGTTTTCATTCGTGTGATTGGATTGTGCATGAAGAGAGAGAGAGTGAGAGAGGGAGAGAGAGAGAGAGAGAGAGACTGAGAGAGAGAAAAAAGGTAAGGGACAAGAGGAAAAAGGGGCAACAGGAAGTTGAACTGATGTCTGTTTGTTTATGTATTCCATTGTATTATTGTTTAGTTACTTGGGAGACCCAGATGTGCCATGGGTGGAGCAGCAGCTGGAGCCTTGCCACATGCATTCAGGTGAAACACTTTTGCAATTTCACGCGGCCAGTCTCTGAACCTCAAAAGGGTAAGGCGGGGCCGGTGAGGGCGGGTGGTAGGTACATTCCTCATGCCGCGTTCGTCCTCGTTTGTCCTGGCGCTGTGCGAGTGCCAGTTACGTCAGCAGTTGACTGAAAGACAAATGGAAGCTTCACTTGGCTTGGCTACTGGCTACGCCAGCAATTAAAGGATTTCATGTTGCTGCTGTTGCTGCTGCTGCTCCTTTGGCTTTTTTTCGCAGGATGAGTGCACAGAATTTTTTTGCTGCTCTTGTATCCATTTAGTCACTGTTAGTTTTAAATTTAAGGGTCATTTGTCTCTTGCAAAACTTTTCGTCTCACTTTGTTTTGCCAAGTTGCGTGTCATTCTGCAGGGCTCTGAGCTTGTCTGGTTCGAGTTTTGGTCTAGCCAAATTATTGGCCCCATGTACACTATATACGCTCATCTACATGTATACATTTACACAATATACATATATATGTATATATGCATCGCCATAAACAATATAAATTTATATGTGCTGTGAAACATTTTAATTAATCACTAGAGGGCATCAATTGCATTTTGCATGCTAATAATTTATGTTATAAATATTCCACAATCTCTGTCGCACGCTTGCTCGCTCTTTCTCGCCCATGATCATATATGTACGTACATAATTTAAGGCTTCTCCCACTCCTAAAATACTATTCCCCCTCCTTGCCTGTGGCGCGCATTTCAAATGAATTGATATTCAATTATGCCAAACAACTCTCCACCATGGCAAACAATTGAGCTTTGTGTTTTTTTGGTGGGGCGCGTGGCTGCTCCTGCTACTCCTGGTGCTGCTGATGACGCCCAGCGCTAAATATTAAACAGCAAACAATAAATATTTATTTAGGTTTGCAGTTCATATTTTACAATATTTGATGCGGTCATAATTGTTGTTCGTAAAGTGCATAAAAAAAGAACAGTCTGCAGTTGAGGGAAAAGTTTACATTGAAACTGTGCGAGCCCTGTGGAAATCGGCGGGATAGAACATTTAGTGATAAGTTTTGAATCTCAGACCAATGCGTATTTGTAATAAAGCTTTAGCCGGACTAAAATATATATATATATATATATATTAATTAATTAAATACAAGTAAATATAATTCCTTCAGAGGTGCATTTAATACATATTTGAGAATCGAAGAGAAGTCTGCACATTAATAAGCCGGAGAAAAGATTCTTATAAATGATTTGATTCAATATAAATAAATACAAACATAAATTGTGCATTTTAAAAAATGGCATTAAAACATGAATTCACAATAAATAACTTAATAAATTGACAATAAATACATTAATAAGCGATAGAAACATAAAATATGATTTAATCCAATATATAAATAAATAAAATAAATATAAATACATTCAACAAATTTTGAGAATAGCAGGGAACACTTTATATATAGATATAATTAGTTTAATACAAATAAGTATTTTTTTACTTTTATTTTGTATTCAAATTTTAATTCTAATACTTACAATTTGATTTATTTATGGATTTTTTTTATTATATTACAATTTAAAATTTCTCAACATACCCACTCTGTGTTTTCTAGTGATTTGTATAATTTTAAAGAACTTAAAACTGTTTCATATTCTTCATAAAGTGCAACCCTCTTGATATCCATATTTCTGCAAATATTCGACTAGGAAGCGATTACGAATCTTTTTATATATTTTGGCTGCTAAGCTTAGGCGGGCTGGATCTGTGTGACCCATCTTGATGCCCGGCTTGTGCACCAAGAACGCATTATCTAGGGTAAGAAAGCTATAGTCCATTAGGCAGAGGGCATAGGAATGGACCATCTTGTCGGACATGCCCTCCCAGCTCAAACGCTCGTCGTACTCTGGGTCATGAATCGTTCCAATATAGATGGGATCCCAAAGGTTAAGGCGTTTGCTGATGCTGAACACATTGATGGATTGGGCATTATCCGTTTGGTTGATCCAGACGGGCAGATTTTGTGCCATGTTACATTGCGGACAAACATGAGTATGAAAGGGAATCGCTTCACCCGTGGCCAGTTGGCTCTTCAATTCCATTTTTGTGGACGGCATCGTGGCATTCGCGTGCACCTCGAAGATGTTGAGTGGATAGACAATGCGCTCATTGGTGTTGACCAAATGCATATTGGCAGTCAGCATCTTCAGAAAGCCGTCAACCAGGCCAGGTGTGGGATACAGTTCGATATCGGAGGCGAGTATGTAATGTGTGAGCGATGACTGCTTCGCAATATTACGTCCCACATTGATGGGATAATCGAGTTCATGTTGGCTTCGATAGAGTGCACTTTGGGGCACGTTGTCGAATGTCGCAGCTCTTGTACATTTCTCTTTCATGCTGCCTAAAGACTTTTGTGCGTAGACCTTATCGGGCATATGCTCCACATGGAAGTAGATATGAAAGCTAACCCAGCGCTTGATTAGCTCCCGCTCCGGCGCACATTGCTGCAGCCACATGATGCTGTGCACGGTCGCCTTGAAGTCGGTGCCAGGTGCGTAGAGTGCCAAGCTAATTGGCGCCCGCCAGCGCTCCACCAACGGAGCCACATTACTCAAATACCGATAGTCTCCATGCGTGGTATAGGTGACACTCGTCGCGCAGCGTATGCGGCCATGGTTAGCGGGCACATAGTTAACCAGAGTCCAATAATTCGAGTGCTGCATCTTCGCGAATTCCGCCTCTCGATCCGTGCAGTTGACGGCGAGGCGCAGGCCAATCATATACACAGCCTCATCTTCATCCTCCTCTTCAAGGCGGCCTGTTTGCATTTCAGCTATCGTCTCGCTCAGCCATAAGCAGAGGCAGAGCAGCCACAAACATGATTTGCGCATTATTTTGTCTGCTCAGTTGTTAATTAATTAGGTATTTCAAAATGAATAACATAAAATTATTTTAAGTAGGAAAAAACAAAAACAAAAATCAGTATTTTATTTGAAATTTGGAGTTCATTTGGTTTTTAGCAGAGTTTACTGTGTTGCCTGTGCTTTATCGATATTCAAAGTGTGGTATTTGTACATATTTATATATTTTGTTAAAATCATTAGTATTATTAGTAAAAATAAACAAAATATGCTTTGCTCGAAAACAACCTTTGCTGAACAAGTATAAATTATTTTCATATTGGGATTTCTGATTTATAGAAATGTAAGAGTTGTGTTTTAATGAAATCTGGAACTGCAATTTGAGATATCCAAATGAACGATCAAAGAGGAGAAATTTTGCTCCAATTCAATATGCTATCCTTACTCTGCTAGAAAATATAGTACAATAAATATTTTCTATAGATATGGCCATTTTATATACATACATATTTTATTAAATAAATGTATATATTCTATTAAATCCGCCTACTAAATTTTATATTTGTTGTTTTTATTACCACAGAGTTTGATGCATTGCAATTTATTTGGCCACACAAAAGCTTAAAATAAAATGTCAAAATGTTCTAAAACCAAATTCCACTTAAGAGAAGAGCTAATACTCAGCATATGACAGCAGATCAGCTATTATTGTATTCGCTGGCAAATTGATATATTTTCTCTGAAATTTGGCGTCCATTGAAATCAATATTAAGTAAATAATATGTTTTCAAGTGAGCCTACTATTGATTAGCGCGAAATTTTAATATGCAGCCGACGCAAATAAACAATTAATAAACAAAATTAATGTGCATTGTTATTCATTGTTGTGTGCCCATTCCTAAATGCCGCAACTCTCGTCGGACACAGCAAAATTTTAATTATGCCCCATCGAATACAAATATATATAAATACATATATATGGAGGTATGTATGTATGTATGTATGGAAAATATTAGTAATTACGAGTTGAAAATTCATGAAAATACAATTTGCGATTATTGTTATTAGTGTCAGGCAACAGGCAACAGGCGGCAGACACTGGCTGCGCCAATGCTCCCCGCCCCCTATTCCTTTCTCTTGGCCCCACAACCTTGAATGGCGTAAAAGTTTTACGAGCTGCGTCGTCGAGCGACAGCAGCTGAAAAATTTATAAATTCAATAGCACCTAATTAAAATTAAATCTGAAAGCTTGTTGTATCGACGATGACGACGACGTCGACGGCAGCAGCGGCAGCGGCAGCGGCACACAGCTTAGGCGCCGGCAACAGTATCACAGCAACAACGTAAACAGTTACAGATATGTAATCAAGAGTGTGCGCGACTGTCTTATGCCCTGTAAATAAATGTTGGCGTTGGTATTAGTGAAATGGAGTATATTCATTTATAGTATATCATTTTGGACTCTGAGAATATGGGGAATTCTTACTAATAATTTTAGCGAGCAACATGGAAACTGTAGAGGATAAGCTATATTCTTAATTTAATACTTTTTCTACTCATTTCAAATATAATGTAAAAGTATATAATATAATAGGCACTATATTTATATCTGCTCAAGCTAAACCATAACAAAAATAAAAATAAAAAACATTTAAGATTTGTTTTATATATATATATATATATATATATATATATATATATATATATATATATATATATATATATATATATATATATATTTAAGACATAATTTATTTTAATTTTATACATTTTATTTACATATTTTTAAATACCTCATTTTTTATTTCATTATTTAATTTTTATAATAAACTATATTTAAAACAATACGTATAGTTCATATTATATACTAAAAGATTCGCTCTCCCTTACAAATCGTACTTATTTTGTATACAACTTCAAAGAGGAGAGGAGATGCAATCAGATATTAATCAATCAGATATATCTTTCTAAATATCTATAAAATGCGTATACTTAATGCACATATGAGAGTCAAATAGGATTTATATTTCTGAAAGCTAATCCGAAATATCTGATCATCAATATCTCTTTCTGTTCCAGATTTATTTTCTACTATCTCTAAGCTTTATCCGGCTATGAAACACCCCTTTAGCAAATTGTAAAAGGTATGCTTACGCGAGTTACTGGCAAAAGACGGGCAAGGATGCTGCCTAGGTTGCCAAAGTCGTTGTTGTTGTTGTTTTTGCTGTTGCTGTTGCTGCTAGCAGGATATGCACGGTAAATGCTATAGCCGGAAATGAACACGTACTCAGTGTGTGTGTGTGTGCGTGTGTGTACCTGGAAAAAGTTTACCAGCTGCCTCAGTCGAGCTCTGCAGAGCTTATTTATGAGCTGCTATACTGCGTGCGTTTGTGTGTGTATGCGTGAGTATGTGTGCCTGTGTGAGTACAATATTAATTATTGAAAGATTTCATATCGGCTTAAAGTTTCTGCTACCGTGAGTGTTTTAGCCTGGCTTACGCCCAAAAGTATGCAATGCGGCAAGCAAATTGAAGTCACTTGTCGCATGCATCATCATCATCATGTTCAGCCTCATCATCGTGATGGGAAATCCAATTTAAAGCATCTAGCATCTTCTTCTTCTTCTCCTTCGTTTGCAACTGACCAAGCGTGGGCTGAACTGTGGGCTGCACTGTAATACGAACTACTTTAACCCCATGGACCTGGCGGGTTCACTTTAGCACTTCGACTGTTGCACTTACTCCTCGGAGTCAGGCGCTGGAAATGAACCAATAAATCAGTTTATAATGGCAAAAAGGCAAAGGCGAACGGCAAAGGCAAAACGCAATATGATGTCAGGGCAAACTTTTGGCGCCTCTTTTATAGCTGCAGCAAGAGCAATAGCAAGTGCAGCAACAACAGCAACAACAACAGCAACGGCAGCTGCATAGATCAATGAACCAAACTCGAAAGTGTTTTACGATGCGCCTGAAAGCAACGCAATGGAATTATATTTACTTGTGTGAGCAATAACCAAACCAGAGACCAAGACATTCACTCCAAATGGCATTGTGTCGGCTGTAAGGGATACGAATGGCGATTGATAGCCCAGAATCAGAGTGGGAAAATCAAATGTGAGTTGTGAACGTACTGAAGAAACACTTGACTTTGCTGCTTGGGTCAATGGAACTAATTGAAGAACTATTTTCTAATATATTCAGATGAAGTATTGGGAGATAAATAGAAAAATGACGTTTATTATTCTATTAGATGAGAATTTTAAATAAAGTTAATCTTTCTTCGCACCGATGATGGAGTTTAGCATAGAACGCAGGGACTCAGACAGAAAGTATTAAAATAGTTCATTTCTGAGAATTTCGGAGAATTTTACCAACTACTCAATTTTAAATAAATAAAACGAATTTGCCTCTTAGAATCATCATATTTATATTTAATATTTGTAATGTATCTTTTTAATTGATATATAGCTCTACCGACCTCTTTTCATGTGATATATATAGTCAGTTCTTAATAGTTCTTAATGCTCACATTAAATTTAAATTCATGTAAACTGATTATTATTATTATTTCAGTTTACATTTATAGCTTCGTTACAAAGTTCGACAGTCCTTCGATTCATATTTTGTGCAGCCCTGGCAAATGCAGTCTTCTGCTGAATAAAAGCTGTCAAGCATAAAACATGTAAAGATAAACTACTGCAAAAAGAACTGTAACAAGTGTTGCATTTTTGCTACCCTGTTAAGCAGCCAAATGGGCGTAAGCGAGGGGTATATTCGTTTGGTGGAAATGTTTATGGCAGGCCGATAAAATTTCATAGAATATATTAAAATATCAATCTAAAGAATATTATAAACTATTATGAAATATATCTTCTAAATTAGGGTTTATATAAAAGAAAATTCCTTTTAAGTTTCTATTATTTGAGTAAGCTAAACTGAAGGTATTTGACTATTTTAGGTTTGTATAGGGCATCTGTTAGTCGCATCATCTTGAGCATGCACTCTTGCACATGTTTTGCAGATGTCTTTGTATAATACACATAAATTATAACATGTAAACAAATATGTATCTATAAATATGTACAGATGACTAGAAAAGTCTGCTTGTCAACACTCAGTGCGACAACAACAAGAACTATGAGTGTAACAACAACAACTATAACTACAACAAGGAAGCACAAGAATTGGAGGCGGAGTTCGTGGTACAGTTGGCCACGCTGCATATTTTAACATTTCCGGTTTCATTTCACAATGCAAACAAAATGGCCGGCCGACGTGTTTCCGGCGCAGCAAGGCAACTCCTACCTGCCTTGACCAGGAGCACAGTCACACACACACACACACGCACACACGAAAAATGGCTGCGTTGGGGGCGTGCAATCGTGCGATGCGCTGACAAATGCTCACACTTACATATATATATATATATACATATATATACATAGACAGTTATGTCGAGCTGGCCCATAAGCCAATTGATTAGAGCCGTGCCCTCATCATCGTCAGCATCATAAAGGGCTTACGATCATAGCCAACGCCGAATTCGAGAAGCCAACGCTGATAATCAATGCAAATAGTTTCAGATGCGCCGTGAGAGCCTTATTTCACATTTATTCAGTTCAGTTCAGTTCAGTTTGTAGTTTTTTTTTTTTTTTTTTTTTTTTTTGTGTTCTTGTCTTACATAGTTTAAGTGCAGGTTTTTGGGTTCAGATTTTGCGCTTAACTCTTTAATCTTGCTGCCTGTTTTTTCCTACTCTATTTTTTTTTGAATTGTTTTTTTTTTTTTTTTTTTGTTGGCTGTGCGCAGTCGACATAAAAAATTTACCAGTTGATTTTATGCTGGATTAAGCTTAAAGTTTATACTAAAAGGAACTAAGCAAGCGTAAATGGAGGCCTGCTCGATTTTCCCTTTTACCACAGCTTTCTTCTTTTATTTTCCATCGTTGTTGTTGTTGTTGGCTATCTTGC